CTAGAAGATGAAAGGAAACCAACTTTACCTACATGCTGACTATGAGAAACTAAAAACACAAGAACATGACAATGACAGCAATGTCAAAAGTAAAAGATGAAAAAAAGTACAGCAGGCAAATACTAATGAAAAAGCTGGTATCTCTGTATTAGTGTCAAACAAAGTGGTTTTTGAGACAAAACACCAAGTGTATGAAATTACTCAATAATGATAACAGTTTCACTTCATCAGAGAAAGATAATACTAAACACGACCACCTAAATTTGCATCAAAATATATAAAACACAGCCGGGTGTGGTGGTACACACCTGTGGCCCCAGGTACTTGGGAGGCTGAGGTAGGAGGATCACTTGAGCCTTGGAGGCAACGGCTGCAGTGAGTTGAGATCAAGCCACTGCACTCCAGTCTAGATGACAGAGCAAGACCCTGTCTAAAATACACACACACACACACACACACACACACACATATGTATATATTACAAATCTTAAACTAATTACAAGGAAAATGTGACAAATTCACCATTATATTAGGAAATTTCACTACCCATCTCAGTAATTTTAGGCTGAGCAGACATACAGTCCCCCACTTACATATACATACACACCTATTACACAGATTGGAAAATTTGAAAACACAATTAATAACCTAGATTTAATAGCTACATATGGGACCAGCACCTAATGATCAAAACATACATTCTTTCTCAAATACACATGGAACAGTTATAAAATTTGGGTAAATCTAAGACATAAAGCAATCTTCAACACATTTAAAATAATTAAAAATAATTATTTTCATACAGGACACATTATCTTTCCACAGGGCATTTAATCTTGGAAGTAACAACATAATGTCAATGAAAAATGTACCATGTGCTTAGGCATTTAAAAACTCATGAATCATGGCCAGACACAGTGGCTCACCCCTATAATCCCAGCACTTTGAGAGGCCAAGTTGGGTGGATCACTTTAGGCCAGGAGTTCAAGACCAGCCTGGCCAACATGGTGAATCCCCATCTCTACTAAAAAAAAAAAATGCAAAAATTAGCCAGGCTTGGTGGCACGTGCTCCATCGCAGCTACTGGGGAGGCTGAGGTAGAAGATGGCTTGAAGCTAGGAGGTGGAGACTGCAGTGAGCTGTGATTGCACCACTGCACTCCAGCTTGGGCGACAGAGGGACTTAAACTCACAAAAAAAAAAAAAAAAAAAAAAGTCATGAATCAAATATCAAAAAAATGGAAATTTATAAGCATGTTAGCATTGAATGCTAATAGAACCACTATGCAATACAATATGATTTTGTGATTATTTAGCCCATAAGATAATGAAGGAAGAAAAACAACAGATTTGGTAAAATTTGGACAACTCTTATGGATATGTCCTTAAAGTCTTGAATATGGCTGGCTGAGTAGATTTTATCATGAATTGATACCACCAAGGCATAGTTTTTACTTCAATACAGCACCTATAATTTCAGTATCTCTAACTTCATGCTATGGGCTGAATTATGTCCCCCTAAAATTCATATGTGGAAGTCCTAAGCCCCAATATCTCAGAATGTAACTGTACTTAAAGACAGGCCATTAAAAAGGGAATGAAGGTAAATTGAGGCTGCTACTGTGGACCTTGCTCCGGTCTGCCTGGTGTCCTTGTAAGAAGAAGAGATTAGAACATATATGACCCAGAGACCTAGAAGTGACCATGTGAGGACACAGTGAGAGGGAAACCATCTGCAAGCCACAAAGAGGGGCCTTCGAAGAAGCCAACCCTGTCAGCACCTCAAGCCTGGACTTCCAGTCTCCAGAAGTGTGAGAAAATAAATCTGTTATTTAAGCGGCCGATCTGGGATTTTGTTATGGCAGCCCTAACAAACGACCACACTTCACATTCAAGAAAATTCATGTTTACTTACTGATATGGACTAAATTTTGTCCCCTGCCCCCGTGCTCAAACATTCATATTTTGGAGTCCTAACCCACAATATGACTATATTTGGAGTCAGGATGTTTTGAGGAGGTGATTAAAATTAAATAGGTCATGCGTAGGGCACCAATCCGATAAGACTGGTGTCCTTATAAGAAGAGGATGAGAAACCAAATCAATCTCTCTCTCTCTCTCTCTTTCTCTCTCTCTGTCTCCCTGTGCATACAAAGAGGAAAAGTCCTGTGAGGGTACAGTGACAAGGTGACCATCTACAAGCCAGGAAGAAAGGCCTAACAAGAAACCAACTCTGCTAGCGCCTTGATCGTGAACTCCCAGCCTCTAGAACTGTGAGAAAATAAACATCTGTTGTTTAAGCCACTTGGTCTGTGATATTTTGTTATGGAAGCCCGAGCAGACCAATATGCCTACTAAGTAAGTACAAGTTCTAGACATCAAAATGTTTTCTTTATGTCATCTCCTTGACAAATTAAATATTTCAATGTCCATATTCTCTGAAAGAAAAGGAGTCAGTGTTTTAACGGATCCTATTTAATCTTTACTTCCCTATATCTTTATTTCTGTGAATGTGACTTCAAAAATGGAGTCATTCTATATCCTACTGCCAAGGCACAATCTGGTAAAAGCAAGAGAAAGGCTTTGCTCTGCTAGTTCACCCTTTTCTGCTCAGCATTTGGCTCTAAACTGTAACCCGAGACCCTGAAATTGCTGAGGCCCTTAACTTCTTACTCCTTTGTCTCAGAATGATCTCAGCGGGACAGTTCCTGGAGTTTCCTTTCATGTTTCAGAATATGACCAAGACCAAGAAAATAAAATGTTGATTCCTGATGCCATGTGGCTCAGGGTTTAGACAATGCACTTGGGTCACAGAAAATTGAGACCAAATCTGTTTTCTTGCATCTGCTCCATTGCCCTCTGTGACGTTAATTCTCGACAGCAGATTCAACGTGCTAGAACCAACCAATATTAGAGTGCTTAAGAAGTTAGGTTAAACTGAGCTCGGGTCACTGTGCTAGAACTATGGTTACCAAAACTGAAGTGCATATTTACTCTTCAGTTCCTATCTCAGCTGTGAAACTGTGAGTTTTAATTAGGGAGTAAAGGATTTGTCTCCTTAGCTTCATGTTAGAAAGCAAATGAAAAAACTTGTCTAAAACCCTTAAAAGATAGTCCCAACCTGGGATAATTCTTCTCAGCTATTCATGGAAATATATGACCTATTTTAGGCAGGTAAAACAGAGGCAAAATTAAATTGAGACATTTGAAACCATGGAATAATCTAACAACATGCTTTTTTAAAATTCATTCCCAAATGACACATCAAGTTCCTAATTTTTATGATGAACTGCTTTAGGCGTGAGACAATGAAGTAGTGTATAAAGTATTACAAATAAACTCATATATGTAAAACTGTTTTAAAAATTTTAGTGGTATGGAAATATAGCACTGTTGTATTAAATAATAACCTATTCTATAATCTATATGTTAAATTTCTTATTTTAGAAACAGCTCTTATATGTTGAAGTTTGCTAGTAACTAATATTCGTAACTATAGTCTAAAACCATATTGTCACAATAATATGTAAAATCATAATGTCATATTATATCTTTACACAGAACTTTTGCTGTAGTATTATTTTCTTATTAAAAATTTAAAAACAGATATCAGTTTCCATGATAGCTAATCAAATACACTGTTTTGTGATAATTTCTCTTATTTTATGATAGAGCGATCTTAACTATTATAAAAGCAAATAATATATTGAACTACTGATCCAATTTATCAATTAATGGTAATACAGTACCTACTATGTGTCAAGAGTTATGCTAGGTCATCAGTTAGGACAACTATGGCTGCAAAGGATCACCCAGGATCAAACTGTCCTAAGGAAGTTTACTATTTCATACTGGAAGTCCAGAGGAGAAAGGAAGAGGGCACAGCACTTTTGGTGGCTGAAAGACACCTTTGTGTCTGCACAGACCCAGAATTCTTCATCTCTCTGCCATCTTTAGCATCAGCTTCATCATAAGGCTGCTTTCACTCATGGTTTCAAAGGGTGTCAGTAGCTCCAGGAATGTCATTTAGTTTAGACAGTGTCCCGAAGGAGAAAAAAGACTTCTTTTTCTCATATGTCCTTCTTAAGAATGTGGAAAACTTTACCAGGATCTCCTGAGAGATTCTTGTCCACCCCTCATCAGTCAGCACTTTGTCTCATGCCCACTCCTGAGCCAATGCAGGATGCCTTTTCCCCTCTTCTCCATGCGTCTCCCTGTGATTGGTTTGGACCCATCAGGACTCTCCCCTGGGGATGGAGGTTGAGGCTCTATGTTTCTGTCTCATGGAGGAAGAGTGGAAACCAGAATAAAACCAGAGCTCTGAGAGCAAGGACAAAAGTAGCCTCTTACTAGGTCTGCTACAGCTATGCTGAGTTTGGAAAGCACAGTCAATCTGATGGAGGAATAACCAATAGGGAATTGTACACAAAGAGAAGACATGAAAAGCTAAATAATAATACCCAGTAAGTACCTGTAAATCCTCCTTAGAACCAGGAGGGACATATATAACTACATAAATACAACATCAAATAATAAATCATAATATAGCTTGTCATTTGTAGACAATGCATGTTGTATGGGATCAGAGGAGTAATAGCATGTAGGTAAACTGTCCAGAGAAAATTTTATGGAAGAAGTGAAACTTAAAAAAGAGTTGCATTTAGATAATTCTGGAATAAATAGAACCATTGCTTTTCTGCCTTTTCTTAAAGCTTTGAGTCTTCTGACTTGTCTCAGTACCATGCAATAAGAGCAGATACTGACCCTCTCCTTTTGTTCTTGCAATAAATCAGATCTGCTTTTACTTTGACCTGTTCCTGATATCTTCAGCTCCAGGCTCTTTGGCTCATAAATCGCTGTGTTCTTTGTTTATAATAAAGACTCCCCATGACTTCTCTACTGCTATTGGCTTCCCTTTCAACAACTACTCAAACGATCTACTTGGATAGCATTGTTCTAACTACCCTGGCTCATTTTTTCTTTTTCATTTTCCAGCTTTAGCCCAGGCCTGAGGGATTTCCCCTACCCAAGTGGTCATGGCTGAAATTCCCACCATACTGGTCCCTGGTAGTAGAGTCAACTCTACCTTTCCGTCCTCCACCTCCACATCTGACAAACAGGTGCATTATTTTACTTCCCTCACGGAGTTTTTGTGAGAACTAATGAGTGAAGTCCTTATAAAATATTTAGAAAAGTATCTGAAAAATAAATATTTTATAAGTAAAAATTAGCCACTATTAATATTATCGCTGTTATTTTTGTTTTCCTACCAATCTGAAAAGCTTGGGTTTGATTGCGGAGATAATTATGAGTATTTTCATTAGGTAATTTATATAATAAAAGCAACAGTTTAGGTGTTGAATAGGTCAGCAGGTGAGAGAATAGAGAGAGGAAATACAAGATACTGTAATATCTCAGGTTTGTCAATAAAATAAATTAAGATTTGGTCTAGAATTTGGCAGTGAAAAGCACTGGACAAATGTGCAAAGCATTTCAATGAAAAAATTAACAGGATTTTAAAGGCTTTTTTCATATAACTGGTGGTTTGAGGGAGAAGGTGTGAGCTTGCATACCTGGAAAAATTGATAGAAACTGGCTTTTAAAAATTCTGTTGCTCATACTTGGTAATTTTTCTGGCTACACTTTTTTTTTTTCAAAGAGACTAGTAAATTTATCAGCTTTACATTGTCTTTGATTTAACATAGAAATAAAATAAGTTCCCTTTGTGGACTATATCCTTGGATTATAGTGAGAGTTCAATTTCCAACAAAGAAAAGTAAGTGTAGAAGTTTTACAAAGTTTTATTTCATCCCACAACATTGTCGTCCTTGTAAAATCACGAGTGTGTTGAGTTTAAGCAAAAAATAATTGGGCGTGGAAATCAAATTAAAATATGGAAGACACTCTTTCTGCCCTAAGACTTTTCCCTCTACGCAAAGCAGACAGAAAAGTTGTATAATTTATGAGAATGCTGATTAAATCACCCTTCAGCAACCACCTTTTCATAGTATTATTTTTCCTCCAAAGCCACATAAGAGCCACAAGAGATTTAATGATTGTGCAAGAAAAGTTTTTCATTAAGGACTTTAATAAAATCAAATTAAATAAAAATTGAGAATCAATACAATGATGATAGGAATCTGTGGACATGATTATTTTTGGAAAAAACTTGCTGATCTCATATGCACGAATCTTTAAGTCAGATGGTTTGAAAATTTGGTCTCCATTTTGAGTTTGGGCACCTATTAATCATCTGTACATGTGCTTTTGTACTTGGCTAAATATGACCAGCTCACAGAAGTTTGTTAGTGCATATTTGGTTTCATTCATTTCCCACATTTTGAGAAAAGGGTGCCTTGGTTTGGTTAGATAACAGAAGAGAAAGTGGCAAAAACAAGTGTGTTCGATCTCCCTGAAATGATGCTCCACTGTTCTTGAGTCTCTGTGACCCAGAAGGCTCCTCTTGTATCTTTTTCCTGCTGGTATGTGAGAAAATCTGGCAAATGTGGGAGCCAGAGAGGCTAGGCCACTAAAAGCCCGTGTGCGAAATGATCTGTACACAGCGAATTGACTCCACCTTTCACACATTACCACTTAAAGCATGAAAGGAGTATGGCAAGGAGGAAGCATTTTACCAGCAGAAGAAAACATGCCTCCAACATCAAGAAGTTCCAGCACAATTTCGTGCAGCCAGGACCAGATGAAGGTAAAGGTCAAGCAATATGTTTTAAGGACTGAATATCTATGTTTCCCCAAATTCATATGTTGAAATCTAACTTCCAATGTGAAGGTATTTTTAAGTGGGGCTTTAGGAGATAATTAGGTCATGAGGGCAGAGCCCCTATGAGTGGAATTAGTGCTCTTATAAAAGGGATCCAAGAGGGCTCTCTCTCTTGCACTCTTTTCGCCATATGAGAATCCAATGAGATGGTATTATCTGCAAATCAGGAAGAGGATGCTCACCAGACACCAGATCTACCAGCACCTTGATCTTGGACTTCTCAGCCTCTATAACTGTAAGAAATAATGTTTGTTGTTTAAGCAACCCAGTCTATGGCAATCTCTTATAGCAGCCTGAACTAAGATAATCTATAAGGTAAGCCAAATAAGAAAAATATCCAAACCCAAAATGACTTTAAGTGACTCCCAGAGGAACCCTGCCGACATCACTAAGTTCAGAGAGGTAAAATCAGGCAAAAAGCAGAATTATCCTAGGGGGTCCATAAAAATTTCCAGGCCTGGTTTGAAAGCAACTGTCATATCTTGACACAAAGGGGCATATATTGGATCCCAGAATGTTCTACGGACTTCTTAGGGCTTGCAAAAGTTGTATAATTGTATTAATTATATAAGTAATACATGTTCATTGTTGAGATTTTAGAAATAATAATCTATCATCTGACCTCTTTGAGAAAACCATTATTAACCTTTTAGCTTTCTACTTTCTGTTATTTGCATACATACATGTTTATCCATGTAGCATTTTTTATCGTGCTTTTGAACTCCATTTTATTTACATCGTGATGACTTTATAGTGACAAAAAAGATTCCAAAATATGATTTTAATAACAGCATAAATGGCTGTACCACAATATATTTAGTCATTTTCTATCATTGGATATTTATATTATTTCTAATTTCCCTTCATTATCATTATAGTTAATGTTTTTGAACATAAGTCTAATTCCATATTTGGTTATTTCCTTACAATATTTTCCAAGACACAGAATTGGTGAAGAAAATGTATATTATGAAAGCTATCAAAAATAAAAATTCAAATTTCCTTTTGATTATATGGATTCATTTACATTTCACTGTTGGGATCTGAGGGTAATTCTTTAACTATCCTTAAAATCTTTATATATATATGTATGTGTGTGTGTGTGTATATATATATTCAAAAATACTTGTCAATTGGCTAGATGGTTTCCTTATAGAAAAGTTCATTATTGATTTTCATTAAATTGGACATGTTTTGCATTGCACTGGAGTGGGACATTTGTTTGGCTGCTATGGTGAATTTCTGATGCCTATTTTTTTTTTCTTTTTAGTGATAAGGTCTTGCTATATTGCTCAGGCTGATCTCAAACTCATGGCCTCAATTGATCCTCCCACCTCAGCCTCCCAAGTAGCTGAGATTACAGTCATGAGTCACCACACTCAGTGAATTTCCAATATCTTGTGTCAATTTTTCCATTATGAGAAGAGGAGTAGGGTGGGCAGGGGTTCTTCTATTTTGCCATAGTATTTATCTCTGGTTCCTCCCTTGACCCCAGACCTGATATTTAATTCATCCTCAAATCCTAATGGTTCCACCTCAAAAATAAAAGATATAACCAGAATTCTGCCAATCCTCATCACGCTCGCTGATAAGCCTGGTCACAACTGCCATCATCTTCCATCCACATCAACCCAACAGCCTCCTAACCAGCCTCTTTGCTTCCACTCCATCCTTTCACCATGTAGTCTTCACAGAGCAACCAGAGTGAGCTTTGAAAAATGAACATTATTCTTTTACTTAAACTTTCAAATGGTCTTTTAATCTCTTCTCATTTTTCTCCTTATCCCCATCACCACTGGTCTTCTTTCTGGATTTTTCAAACGTGCCAAACACTATTCACTCTCAATACTTTGGCATTTGCTGTTTTCTCTATGCAGAAAGCTTTTCCAGATATTCTCATGAGACCTCCAAGAGAGGCTTTGACCATCTGGCCAAATCAGTCCTTGTCCAGCACAATTCAACCACCTCTGTGAAGCATGTTGCAAGTTAAAAATTATATACATATGTGTGTGTGTATGTGTGTGCAGTAGTTGTATTTATTTCTGTGTTTATGGGCTCTCTTCTCTTTAGCATATAAACACTATGAGGATATAAACTGTATATTTTATGTTCTAGGACACATAAGGCAGTTCTTTACACATAGTAGGCACTCAACAGCTATTAAATAAATGAATGAACAAATATTTCTCAAGGTTATAGTATAACCTTTGCCACACACTAAGTGTTCAGCAAATGGCACCTATTATTACATTGCCATTCTCTAAGATGTTATTTATCCATTATTGGAAAGAGATTAGAATCTTCCATTATGTTCCCTTTATCTTTCCCATCCCCTATCTTTCTGCCCCATCAGGCCTCTTATGCAAATAAGAAAAAAAATCCTAGCAAAAATAGTATCTTGGGGTGTATTTAAATATAAAACTCATTATAGACACAATCCATTCTGCAACCAGGAACCCTAGTCTTTAATTGGAATGAAATTTGTGAGTTGAAAATGGCCTATAATGGCATTTCTCGACTCATTTGTTTTGGGCTGACCAAATGACAAGATGGCTTATTGCACCTGCAACAAGCTGGCAGATTGTTCCTGCCTTCATATGGGTTTTGAACTTTCATTTTACAGATTACACAGGAAATATAATTTTAGCATCAATTACTCTTGGTACCTTGGAATAGCCTTATGCTAAACACATATTCACATAATGTAAATGATACATTAGGGTGTGTTTGAATTCTTAATAAAGACAGACTGCAAATAATATTTAGAGCAAAAGGAATTATGTTAACAAATGAGCAGAACTTTAATAACAGCAGGGCTTTTTGGTTTTTGTGTTTGCAAAGTATAATAGCCAGGGATTTGGCAGCCTTTTGTGCCTTTACCTTTTTGGCAGTGTTACTCTGTGTGCGTGTGTGTGTGTGTGTGTGTGTATAGATACTATGGAGTGCTATGGGTACCTTTTGTCATAAGAAGGATGCAGATGTTTCCAGGCTGGTGGATAGCAGGGATGTGACTAGAAGCAGTGTTTATACCCAGTGATTCTAAAGAAGGCAACAGAACACGTGTGAGGAAAAGGTAAAGGCACCCTGCAATGTGGCGACTAACTCCATGGGAGTACTAGCTGCAGGAGCCCCACTTGGCAGTGTTTCTTAACCCTCTATGATCATAGAACTTTGTTCTCTTTTTAACAAAAATGCACGTGTGCACATGAAGCAATTATCTGAATGAAATTTTAGGAGACTCTTGGGCATATGTTCTATCCATGAACACTTCAAGATAGGAAGTTTCTTATACCTTGGTAAACATCAGTGGCTTCAGAAAGCAAAACAATTGGCCTTTTG